CTATTTAAGAATTTTGCTTGCTTTTTAACTTGTTTTAGAAAGAAAATAAGATCATCATGTTTTGGTTGTAAGAGGACAGGGCAAGTCCGGCTTCACTTGTTCCTAACCTTTTCATCAGTTCCCCTACATTCAGAGGTGTTTAAAACAATTCAAAGACCCTTAAAACTTTCTATGCTATGCAACAGGCTGCTTACATGTAAGACTGATCACTTATTAAAATTCAAATGGGAATAAAAACATGGAATTTGTGAAGCAGCAGCGACATTCATGTCTTCAAACAAAAAATATTACTGAAACCAGTTGATGATAGACTTTTCTTTTAAGCAAGCAGAACCTCAATCTACTCTGAGAAAGAACATGCAAACATGTATACACTGATTGTCATCTGATGGGCTACAGCTAAACTTCTTATTCTCAGTTTATAAAATTTTCTCCATTTCTTTTCCTTTCCAATATTGCTCTCTCTCTCTCTCTCTCTCTCTCTCTCTCTAGAAGCTTGTGTAGTTGACATTGAAAAAAAATAATAATAATTAAAAAAAAGGGGTATTTGTTCACTAATCTTGAAGTTTAGCATACTGGTGAAATTACAATTCATTCAGAGGAAAGACAAGAAAACTAGTTTACCTCTTGGATTTCAGTCATTTTCTAATTTATTATAAGCAAACACACTTATTTTATTAATAAAAAAGAAATAACTTACAGTAGAACTTTCTCTCTCTTTACCCTTCAAGAGCAAGATTTTCTTCTTCCCAATATCAGTGGATCCAGAACCTCCTGTATTAAAGTCAATAGCATCACTTAATAATGAGATATGACTGATAGTAGTGGCAGGAAGAATGAACTGGCAAGACGGAAACGATGTTAGGACTCAACCAAATCACTTAAGGATAACTTGCAGATCAGATGGATTTCAATGGAAGATAACAGCAAAATGGATATGTATTGATGGTATTAACTGAAATGTAACAGACCAAATCCGGGGATATTGGAGAGTACCGGTCTCTCCCCTCTAACTGAAATCCAGTGGAAAGAATAATGCAAACATCCCACCATCCTTCACATTTATTGGAATTCTCTTACTACATATTATTACTCTTTTACCCCTAGCTAATAACTATTTGTCATGGTAGCCCTCTATGTTGGATGTGCCATTCCTTTTCTCCCTTCTAGCATAGGTGAACCAGATTTGAGGTCTATCATACCCCGCAGGCCCGAAATCCACCTTGTCCTCAAGGTGGAAGCTAGGAAACTGCCCCCTGATTGTTTCAAAAGGCTCCCAGGTTGCCTCAAATTCTGGTAGGTTCTTCCACTTGATTAGGACATCAGGTCCTGCTGTTCTGTTTGTAGGATTAGGACGAACTCCTAACACGGTCTCCGGTTCCGTAATGAACTCCCCAGTAGCAGCCAGTTGAGAAGGAAGTGCAGAAACTGGCTGTAAATCACCAATGGCCTTCCGGAGCTGGAATATGTGGAAAACAGGATGAATAGCTGCGGTGACAGGCAGCTTCAGCTTGTACGCTACCTGGCCAACCCTTGATTCCACCTCAAACGGGCCATAATACCACAGGGACAGCTTTTCTGAATGTCGTTTAGCCATAGACTTCTGACAATAATGCCTGAGTTTGAGATAAACCAAATCTCCCACAGCAAACGGAATGTCACGGCGATGCCCTCTGCTGCCTCTTTCATTCTCATTTGTTTGAGCCCTAGAGAGCTGTAATTTTAGTTCCTTCAAGGCTTCATCACGGTCTAATAGCAGTTGCTCAACCGACGAGCTAGCAGTCATTCCTTTTTAAAATGCTAAACTCTGGGAAGGATCAAGGCCATAGACAATCTGAAAAGGGGTCTATTTGGTCGTGGTATGGAAGGATGTACTATACCAAAATTCAGCCCAATGTAAATATCGGCCCCATACTTGTGGTCTACTTGAAGAAAAACACCTTAAATACTTTTCCAAGCATCGATTGGGACCTCCGTTTGACCATCAGTTTGTGGCTGGTAGGTCGTACTGCATTTGAGTGCGGTTCCCTGTGCTTTGAACAAGGCAGGCCAAAAGGT